GCTCCTTCTTCCTTAACTTATTTTAACAAAAGAATACTCAGTATTTCTACATCATGTCCTCGGACTGCTATAAGACCCGAAGAGACAACAAGACCTCTTAAACAAAAGGACATCAAAAGTCCTGACAAAATGTCAGCTAACTTTCCTTGACTTGATTGTCTCATAGAAAAGCAGAACGCCAGTAGTTATTGGTGGCATAACAGGAATGTATGGAGAGAAGATGCAAGGATACAAAGTATTCCAGCACAGTGTGGAGAATTCCCAAGGCCTGAACTTGATGAAAATGGAACACTAGGTACAATATATATAACTGTTTATTGTTACTTGTTTGTTGTTGGTATTTATAGTTGGAGTGAGTCTTGTTGGAAGAGATATGCTGATTGAGAAAAAAGAACTAGATGTAATTTTGTTGCCTGTCACAGGCTGTTACGCTTGTATTATTACTAAACTGACTTATAGTTAGTTTTTTTATTATTTTAGAATATGTTGTGTATTTTTTTATTTTCTCTTCTTACTGTTGTATTAATTGTAAATAATTATTGTTAAAATTGTGACTGAGGAAGTCTGAAAGAAATAAGAAATTAATGCATCTTAAACCAGCCTTCAGTGATTTCAGTAAAAAATTCATCATATTTTAAAATTTGAGAGTGCAAACTTTTGAGAAATTACTGTGTTAAAGACATACTGGTACGTGTATTACTAACAAATGAAGTGACAATAGTTTATGCCACATTAGGTGTCACAATTCACGCATTTCACAGCAACAGGTGACAGTAGTAGGAGTATAGTGACAATTAATGATTGTGACAAAGAAAAATTCTTTGACACAAAATAGGAAAACTTCACAACTTGACATGACATGCATTAGCTAAGCTGCTACATGAATACAAAAAAATATAAATTATTATGAAGTCAAACTTAGTCTGCCACATCAGATCATCTAATCTTCTTTTAATGGAGGGCAAGGAGAAATCTACCAGGCCTATACTAGCTTATTCCAAAGCTGTGGTAGTCTGTTAACAATTTAAAACAAAAGTGGTGAAACAAGTTATGCTTACTTAGAGCTTGTCCTATATACCCTGTATCAAGCAAATTAACTTTTTATTGAAGTCCATGGTTTTTTTATAAAAATGGCTCCAAAAATTAGTACAAACCTAAAAGCCAATTGAAGTCTCGATAGCAGTTTATATTGAGTTTTGAAGAGTATAGCTTCTTGTGATGATTTATTGATTGCATTAATTATCTTCTGTCATTTTACCAAGAGTAGATTATTATCTACTCTTGAGTTGACATCATTATGATAGCAGACGCCATGTCCACAGTAGCCACCCATATAAAAGATGTCATTGTTTCTGATGGTACAGAAGTATCCTTCAGGTCCTAGGAGGAGGTGGCTTTCCTCTGGTCACGTGACAGGACCAACGACCAGTCTGAAAGTCCAGTCTGTCAATGGTGGAGTACAACTTCATCTTTTGACAGTGGTTGAGAATCTGGGGGGGCAGGGGGGGCTGGAGCCCCCCCCACTTTTGATGCAGGGGGGCACAGCCCCGGCCCCCACTTTTGAGCAGAGCCCCTCATGCTTTTGATATAGGAGCACTGCCCCCACTTTTGATAATTGCTTATTAAACCTGTAGTTATTAACTCAACCCAAAATGATTGGTGTCTCAGCCCCTGTTTGAGGAGACTGTACTGCAGGCTTTCCAAATTCCAGGCCTTTGCCCTCCCCATACAAACAGCGATTCTCCTACTACGGGAGCTGAATGTTGAAATATTTCACCAATACCTGTAACAAGAAATAATAATGAGAGAAAGAAAAAGAGGAGAGTGGCAGGGAGGAAGGGAGAGAGAATCAGTGCCAACCTTTAAACGAAGAAGCCATTGTTGTTATTGTTTGTTCACTTAGGCTGTGTTTACACTACTCCACTCCACTGAATCCGAATAGTTTTTGCTATCACTGGTTTTAGGTGTTTACACTACCTGTAATCCACCAGCTGCGTTTTCATTTGAACTTATCATTCCTTTACAGAAGTATCTGCTTAGGTATTCGTTTTCAAATGTCTCCGGATAAGTATGCGTTTTCATGTGTTTTAGTGTAAACGAAAGCTGTACTATCTGTGACAAAAAGTCTCTGTTTTCCAATGAAACAGGAGTAGTGTAAACGCAGCCTCAATCATTTTCGCTTTGTTCAAGTTTGTCGTCACTGTCACGTGATGACGTTCTGCAATTTCAAGACCATGCTCTTCTATTAATATTTTTTACTAGGTGACACGTGTGTGTAATGAAAGAGTGTTACAAATAGTGAAAGTGATTGACTACAGGAAAAAGGAGGGATTATATATAGCTCTAAAATAAACACATATTTAATCATTTACCAATTTCAAACCTTCTCTTTGTTGTAAAGAACCAGTGATGACTATTATCCTAACCTACAGGCTACCCTTTTCCTAGTCTCGCCCCACCCCACTACCCTTTTCCTGCCGTACTATTACTAGCAGTCACTATTCACTACCCTTTTCTCTACTATTACTAGCCAGTCTCTATTTACTAATGAAACCGGACAAGAGCAGGGTAGTTGCCTGATTAGAAGCCCGGGCGGTTATTTTTTAACGGCACAGGGAAAATTGCTAAAAAATAAAAAATCTGCCAAAGGAGGGATTGAACCCATATCCCCATAGGTCACCAGACTCTGCTTTAAGAGTTAAGCTATTTGGAGTAATCTAAAGTCGAGGTTACCTAAATTGGATAAAAAATATGCGCGTCTATAGTGAGAATATTTTAAGCATAGATTTAATACACTATGATTAAAGTATGGGCATTTATTTAAGCTGGGCTTCTAATCAGGCAAATATGGTACATTAATTAATAAATAAAAATAAAACATATACATTAATGGGTATACAAGTAATCCAGCATACATGTATACATCATTATTAATTAGGTGCATGTGTGATTATCATTATCATTATCAATATAACACTACAGGTGTAGTAAAAAGAGAGTTAGAGAGACAGAGGGAGAGAAAGAAGAGAGATAGCCTGATGGATATGCAACAGAGAAGCTGCATACCAATAGAAAAAAAAGTAGAGTAGTTCAGAAAAAAAGTTAGAGAAAAAGGAAAGTAAAGACAAAATGATCAGAAACTAGATAAGTTAGCGGATGTAGACAAAGACAAACATTTATTACATATACACATAAAACTAAAAGTACAAGGATTGCTACCATCAAAGTGTTCTAAAAAATAGGACCAAAGGAATTTCTTAGGCTTAATACAAAGAGTGTCAATAGATAGGGAAAGGTCAAAGGCAGGGAGTTTATTCCAGAGTCTGGGAAAACGATTGAAATATAAGCGGGACGAAAGAGTAGAATGGGAGTGTTGTGTTTGAGTTTATTGAGGTTAGTGGCCCTGGAGATACTGCATATAAAAAAATAAGAGGGGAGATCAAAATTGCTACCAGAGTCCTTATAACAGCAAAACATGAAAGATACATGCAAATACTCGAGGTATATAGCTAACGGTAACAGATTGAGTCGAATCAGACAATCTTTATAGGTGCACTTGTAATCTGACAATATAAACTTAGAAGCACGCCTCTGAATCCTCTCCAAATTCACTATATCTCTGATTAAGGAGGGTCTCCATACCTGGGAACCATAAGACAGTAAAGATCGAACAAGTGTGACATATAGCCTCTTTCTAACAGTTATATCATTACATGAGAAAGACCTCTTTAAAAGACCTAAGATTTTGTAAGCCTTAGCGATGACAATAGATATATGGTTTGACCATAATAAATCAGAAGAGAAATGAATCCCAAGATCCCTGATGGTACTAGAGGCAGTGATGGAATTCCCCTAAATAGTATAGTCATATGGTGAAGGCTTACAATTTTTCTTTGAGAATCTTACCAGAGATGTTTTGGATAAGTTAAATTTCAAGTCCCATTCGTTGCTCCATTTGAGAGCTGCATCAAGCTTCTCTTGTAACAGAGAGCAATTAACTGTAGATCAGATCTTATTAAAGCATTTGGAGTCTTTGGCAAACAGAAGTAAGAAAGCTGGAAGGGAGTTAGTACTGGTGAGGTCACTAATATAAACAAAAAAGAATAGAGGCCCAATAACACTCCCTTGTGGTACACCACTCAATACGGGTAAAAAGTCTGAATTAGTATTATCCACACGAACACATTGTCTTCGTGAGCCTGATGTGAGGACAAATAAGCTTGAAACCAGGCCCACAAATCACCTGTAAACCCAAATTTCCACAGCTTGTACAGCAATTTGTGATGGGGAACACTATCAAAGGCCTTTTTAAAGTCCAGGTAAACACAGTCTATCGAGTCATTAGCCTCAAAGGCATTCTGAATAACAGAAGTAAGGGATAGCAACTGCTTGATTGGTGAGCGAGATGGCAGAAAACCAAATTGAAGAGGTGAGATATTCTCACAGATATGACCTGTGATCTTATTGTGGATAATTCTCTCCAAGACCTTAGATATGGTAGGTAAGAAGCTGATTGGATGATAATTAGCAACATTGCATTTATCCCCAGATTTGAAGATTGGTTTAATGAGGTGGGTTCGCCAATCCAGAGGAAGAGAATCAGTAGAGAGTGAAAGATTAAATAGATAAGTCAGAGGTGGTGTAAGGGCCACAGCAGCGTTTGAGATAAAGTGGGCTTATGCTATCAATGCCTAATGCTTTAGATCCATCAAGTGAAGACAACTCACGAAACACCTCATCCTCCTCACAAAAGATAGAAGAGAGTTGGTCATGATGGGGGAGGAGGAAGCTGGATCAAAATCAAAATCAGAATAATCCGTGAAAACTGAGTAAAAGTAGGCATTAAAAAGATCAGGTTTGTCTAAACTGGTACTTGCCTTCTGAGATTTAAAAGACATGGTAAGAGGCAGACCATCCACTTTAGTCATCCTCCTGATGTATTTAAATACACCTGACAAATGGGGAAGAGATTCTGCACCAACTGCTTTTCATATACATGTTTAGCATTCTTATAATTAGTTGCGAATGCCTCCTCTGCTTTAAGTAGCTTCTGCTCCAGATTAGAGAAAGGATTAGCTTTGAATCGTCTCCGAAGAGTATGAAGGCTCTTAAGTTGAAAATTAAGTGGACCTCTGAGCCAGGGAATATAATTAGTGGTAGAACGGATAGTAATAAGAGGAACATACTGATGAAGAGATGAGAGGAGAAGCTCCTTGACAGACAGCCAAACACTTTCAATGTTGTCATCATTAAGAAGAGGACCAAAGTCGAAATCCAATAATTAATCAACTAGCCTGTCCAATCAGCTTTAGAAAAATTATAAACCTGTTTAGCAAGTAAGGTAGGAGATACATCATGTAAGTGTGAGACCAGAAACATAACTGGCGAATGGTCAGTGCTGAATGATGCAATAGGGGTAGCAATGACATTAGAAATAGCCCCAGGGATGCTAGTTAAGACAATGTCCAATGTATTGCCTTTATTGTGGGTAGGGACTTGAAAAACTTGTGAGAGATTGAAATCAAACACCAGATCACAGAGACTAAAAAAATAGTGTGTATCACCAGACAAGGTAAACCAGTCAATGTCAGGAGCATTAAAGTTGCCCATAATTATGACAGAACCATGACAATTTGTGAGATCTCTTAGATATAATATGAGATCATCACAGTAATCAGTAATACAGTTAGGGGGACAATAAACAATACAGATAACAGTGCTCCAGTTATTATCAATTAAGACTGAAATAGCCTCTAGATGAGAAGTTGAGGATAAGAGTGAAGAAGGGATTGTATTTTTGACTGCTAGCAATACACCGCCACCTCTCCCAGCTCTATCTTTCTAATGAATAGAAAAAGATGGGGGAGGATTTCATTATCAAAAATAGATTGAGAGAGCCAGGTTTCTGTACAACCGACAATGGAAACACCAGAGGAAAATACGAAGGATTGAAAGTCAATGAGTTTGTGGACAAGGCTTCTGGCATTGATGAGACAGATGTCTAGGACTAGTCAGGAAGAAGACGATGCTTCCCCCTCAGGGGAAGACACAGCTTCTTGAGAAGGGGCAGGAGGAGGCTGGCCAGTAGAAAAATTAGAAGTGGGGTCAGAATTTGGGTCATTAGGAGTTAATTTGGTAGAAGTGGATTTAGAAAGAACAAGAGATGAGTTGATAATCTTGGCATGAGGTACTCTATTGACATAAATTACTGATTTGCCGATGCAAATATCTCTTACTAACATGAGACTGGATAAGTCACCAGTGTTCCTTGAGAAGAAGCCTCTCAATCAGCCTCTCTGACTTAGACATATTAGGTTTAATGACATATGGTTGGGATACAGAGCCCCTCTTAGAAAGTAATGAAACAACATTTTTGGAGCTGTTTAGTGTTATCAAGGCAGGGCGAGGCCTTGGATGTGTGGGTGAATATTTACCCATCCGTCGACAGTCTCTAATAGAGGCCGAAGCTATGGAGTTATCAACTGAGTGAATGACGTCAGCTACTTTCTCAAAGTCGTGTGAGATATGAGCATTCCTCTTGGTGCCTGGAGGGCATTCAGGAATACCGCAAATAACTATAGAAAACTTAGAGGTGGAAGGTAAGGTGGCATAGTTGTATCCTCAAGTCCATGGTTAATTTCTCTATCACCTTCTGATCGAAATATACTAGGTTCTTGAATTGAGGAGAGCCTAGACTTAAGTGAAGTAATACGAGAGGACAAAGAATAGGAGAGATTAGAAAGATCTTGCTGGAGAAGAGAAATTTCATTAGACAAATACTTAACTCTACAGGAAGGACAGTGAAATGGGTCAGATTACTTAGCAATCTTGAAGGCTCTAAGAGTAAGCCCACCGTAGCCTCTATGTACCTACGACTGGCAGCGACCACTACAGTGAATTGATTTGTGATTGTCATCATCAATGAGATCTTCACAGATGGGACAGACAACATTAGAGGAAGAAGCAGTGGCGGAAGTAGGGTTGATGGGAGGCCTACCAGCACCCTTGGGGACCTTCTTCTTAGGAGGCATACAGTCACAGTCTGCCACATGTTGGTGAACCCAATAAAACTAAACAAAGGCAGCACAGAGAAAACAGCTGAACAGAGATCAATTTACCTGACTTAGTGGCTGGCTTAACAGAGTTAGAGCCAGCAGGAAGACAAATATCAATGAACAAAAGGAAACAGACAGGTAGAAGAGTTGTCACAGCTAGAAAGAAGTAGCCATTTTTATGCAGAACTACTAGTATAATAAAGTTACATGTTCATTGCTAGTTCCCAATCTTCCTTTAACATGCCAGCAGCGTCAGCTACTGGTCCCCCAATATTAGATAATGCTGCTATTAATGTGTCACATCTTTCCTTCAGTTTAGACTGCCTGCATATGAAAGTATAAGGCCAGCTAGGAAAGACCCAATGATGCCATCATAAGTTGGTGATTCTTGAACTGATTTTGATGTAATACCAACTAAGAGGAGTTCATCTGATACATCACCTAATGATAGACTGAAAGCTCTTATTAAAGCAACTTGATTCTTCATTAAAACACTTTGAACCTTTCCTTTAACAATATCAAGATTAACAGTACCTACACACAATATCACATCACAACTGATCAATATACATGTAGTTACAATACTTGTTCCTGTTGTACTAGCTGTAGCTTCAGTTGGTCTATTATTACTAGTAGTATCTGATGTATCAAATAGATAATGTAACAGTTGTCATAGTGAATACTTGATGGTGTATTAACAGTAGTAGGAGTACTTCTTAATGATCTGTGGATGAAGATTGTTACTGGATAAACTACACCTTCAATTGGTATAGCATAGTGTAGCATAGCTTCAGTACCAGCCTGTAAACTGAAATGATACAAGTAGGAGGGAGAAGATAATCTTTACCAAAATTGTCAATGTCTTCCTTATACAACTATAACAAATAAACTATAACAAATAAATAATAAAACACTGCTTTATTGGGGCGAGCAAAAGTAGGATTGATTCTGCTACACCACTGGAACCCTCTAATAATGACAGTTAGTATAATAATTATAAAGAACACTTTACTAACTTTGTTTAGCAATATCTCCTTCCTTTTCTACTTGCTCTTGTCCTTTACCCTCAACTCTACGATCTTGTTTCTCTTGTACTCCTGCTCCATGCTGATCACTCTCATCCTTTTCTTTATCATCATCCTCATTCCCCTCATCCTCATGTCCATTTCCTCCTCCTCCTCGTAATTCTCCTACTTCTTGTCCTCCACCACTATGATCATCATCCTCTCCCTTGAGGATGAGGGACTGTAAGGTTTTCTGGTCTAGTTTGTGAATGAAGCAGTTTTCACCTCAAGGAGTCTTTCTAGGCTGAGAATTGTTACGTTTCTAAATAGAGAAAGGTAAGATACCATGATAATAGGCATCAGAAAATGTTATAAACTAATAGTAATTGTAATAACTGTGAAAAAACATGTACAAAAGTCAATGCTTTTTCAAATTTTGTTGCTTTTAAAAAATGCTCATAACTTAAAAAATACACCGGTAAGTCGGAATTAGCTCAAACTTTCTACATAGTATAAGTACATTAATATCAGAATCAAAAAATGTAATGAAATCTGGGGGTGATTCTGGAGCCATTTTTTGGAAATTGGCTAATTAAAAAATGCTCATAACTGGAAAAATTGAATTCTGAATCAACTCAAACTTTCTACATAGCATAAATACATCAATATATGTATCAGAAAATGTAATAAAAATTGGGGGTGATTTCGGAGTCATTTTTTAAAAAAAAATGGGCTGTAGCCTTGGGTATTTTTCAAAAATTAGTCGCTTAAAAAATGCTGACAACTTGAAAAATTTAAGTCGGAATCAACTCAAACTTTTTACACAGCGTAAGTACATCAATATGTATCAAAAAATGTAATAAAAATTTGGGGTGATTTTGAAGCCATTTGTCCAAAAAAATCACATGCAATAGCCATGGGTATTTTTCAAAAATTGGCCGTTTTAAAAATGCTCATAACTCAAAAATTTATGTTGGAATCAACTCAAACTTTCTACACAGCATACATGTGGCTTCACATGTACAGTACAACTAAAAATTAGACAAGAGACATGATGATTCCACCACTACTGTACTATTAGTAATAGTATACATTAGGAGGATGATCAGTAATAATATGGACAAAGTTTAGCTAAATATACATGTACATACCAGGGACATGCTTTAATCTTTTAAAGCACACCAGAAAATAGTTTATAAATAGTAATGTGCTGATGTATGTGTACAAATTGTAAATAACTTTCTATACAATTGATCTCTCTACATTACAAAGCCCAATACTTGATACAATCCAATTTGCATAGGATAATAAGCAATCAATCATTTATTAGCATTTGATATTTAGCATATCCTGCTAAAAACAGGTACAAAACAATGCCACTACAAACAATGTTAATGACTGCTAGCCTAATCAAGAAGATAGACATATTCTTCTTTGACTGCCACTAGAATTTAATCAATAAAATCACATCCTACACCATCACACACACACACACACACACACACACTGCTGCTGCTGCATCATGCAATATACATACACAATGTAGCAGGTGTCCTGATTGGTAACCAGGTGTTATGACAAGACTTCATGAACATGTATGAAGTAAGCATTGTTTTGTATCAATTGGGACACGCAAACTGATTCTTACACTAAGAGCAACATGAACTGCACTATACTACAAACACAACAAACACACATTATAATTACATGCACATGTACATAGTTATTATTATCATTATAAATAGACTTGTTTTTCTTGTGTACACATTCATGTCTGATGTTTAATTAGGATCATCAAGCATTGACAGTTGGCCTTCAAATTGATGTTAATTTGCTAAACAAAATTGCAGATTGTTACAACAAAGTGTAGCAAATATTAGCAGGAGCTAGCACACGCCCTGGCTAGAGTTTGTCACATTAGCAATAACAGGCAAAAACAGGAGAGCCTCCATAAGGTAAGGGCATAGTGTTAAAGATGTAGTCCTATTCTATTCAGACAGAGCACATACTTACATACAATGTACCCGTTATATCATTTGTAATACACAGGCAAACATGAAGCAACATACAAAATATAGGAGGAAAAAACAGTAATGATATAAACTGATCAAATGTTCAAAATAAAAATGAGAGAGAATAAACAATGTGTGATGTGTCATGTATTTTAAGAAGTTTTGACTACAAAGTTATATTATACATCAAATTAAAAACAAGCGCTTGATTAGTAGTTGGTATACTTAGGATATGGGGCTTGTTACTTAGCCAGGAATAACTGTTGCCACAAGGATTAGAGTAAGGAAGGACAGTTATTCAAACAGCTACATAAGCTGCTTTGATAGACAATAAAATCCTTCCAATAGCAGCCTGCCTGAGTATTAACCAAATTTATAATAAATACAGGCTACCAAGAGTACATAAGGGTTTACATATACATATGCATATATGTATATTAGAAATGTTTTGAAGTCTTTAGAAAAACAGTAAAAAAGCTACAACTTCATAATAATAATAATTGTAAAATAATGCCAGCAGCTGTGGGATTTAACTAAAATATTGAACCTCAGGATTGCATAAAAGTTGTGTATTTGCACATAGGTTATCATAATGCATGCACACATGGAGAGTAGGCTTCATTATCAATTTTTAATCTCTGGATATATATGTCATCATTTGGCTCCATGTACAAATTAAGACACAATAAACATCATTAATACTATAGTACATGGTACACCTTAAAATACATTATGATACACACACTCCATATATTGGACAATAAACTATAAAAGCTCCCTTTGTTTGTACATGAGGTACTAAACTATGCACTAGCTGCCCACCACTAAAAATGACACCTGTTACAATAATGGGGGTCCCATTATTACCTTTGGTTTTGAGCCTGGAGGAGGTTGAATTCTTCATTAAGTCTGTCCAGTGTCTCTGGTACTGACATTGGCCTAAATGGTGGCTGGTTTGTTGGAAGAGCTGAAGGTGGAGGTCCCCGCTCTCCAGCTGATGAGGCTTGCTAAATATGAATAAAAAGACATTTTTATAATAAACTCTAAACTAAGAGCACAAAACATTTGATGAGGCTAACAGACAAGGTAAAAGGGAGTGCTAGCAATGGAGAAGGCAAGGGGCAAGACTTTACACCTAGACCCTGGCACAAACAATGGCTGACAATAAAATCCTCCTATACCTGTGAAAACATGTCCAGCTATCTCCTAACACTGAGCCATTTCACTGTAATCTACTCACTCTCCTTAAGCTTCCACTTGGAACGCTTTACCGTGCAGGCGGACACAGACAGTGGTGTCTTTCTACAGCAGGGACATCACCACAAGCTACACAGCCTACAATAATACAGAGACTCAATGATATTCAAAGCTCCAATCAGTGACTGATATTTTTAACTGGAAAGTGGGTGTGACAATTGGCCCAATTATTATGCATGTACTTTTCAATGCAGGACCTAATGTCATAATTCAGTTGCTTGATAATTGAATAATTTACAATCCAGTCAAATGTGGAATTGATAATTGGATTTTTTATGAATTTTTAAAACTGCTCAAAAATATTTTGCCAAAATTAAAAAAGCAGAGAAATTTCTATTTTTGTAATATTTCTGATAGATATACATGTACCTAAGTTGTGTAGAAAGTTTGAACTGGTTTTAATCAAAGTTAATTTTTTAATGAATTTTTAAAGTTTTTTCAAATGCTACGTACATGTACAGTACATGTACAATTGTACATGCATGCTGTTAGTTCACTTACCATGCTTTGTGGGAAACCCTGCATACATGTACATGTATATACTTACTTAAAGATCATGCTGTTGTCTAGGAGGTACACACTAGGAGAGCTAGAATTAGATGGTCCAGGACCATTAACAGTAATAGGACCAACTGAATTAGGACGATTAGGAGGAACAGAAGATGGTTTGTCACTTTTTGTTGAAGATGGAGTCGAGAGTCGTTTTGAAGATGGACAATAATCTGAATTGGACTGCTGCTGTGCCTATTAAATAATAAAATATTTATGACCATAATTGACAAAAGGTACCTTATGGTGGATTTTAAAATTCATCATTATAATGAAAATATCAACCTCTGAGTGCTCTGCTGGACAACCATTGTTTCTAAAAGTTACATAGTAATTTTTTGCATCCTGTGGAGTATTTTTATGATAAATAGAGCTCAGGAAGTTGGAATTTTCTGGCTTTAAAGACAAATTTCACTACTTGCCATAAGGTACCTTTTGTCAATTATGGTCACAATTAGTAAATTAGTAAATTTAAACTTCCCAATAAAAACAACATTTAAATGAGACACATACACACACATACTATTTAGTATAATACATGGAGTACAGTTTACCTGAGCCATTACCATTGCAGCTGCTGGAGTGGTTGATAGAGAAGAAGGATTCTTCTATTTTCATTCATTCCTCTCTCATATGTTAACGTTTTTCTACATAAATTAACAAAAAAATTGCTGCATTACATACATTAGTTGGTGTACATTATAATGCATAATAAACTATCATGTACCAAAACACAATCTTACATTCAATCCATTCTTTATAATGAGCCCATTCCTCTCTTCAGTAACCAGGTCCCCCTCTCTCAGTTCCTGGCAGGTTCTGATATAATGTGTCCTCCAGCTAGTCAGCCTAGTCCAGCCCCTCAGCCCCATTTCTTATCCACAAGCATTTCTTATCCCCTCAGCCCCATTTCTTATCCACAAGCACGTGCACATTTGCTTGGAGCCTCTTCTAAATATATAACATCAAAACTAAAACTTAACAAAAATTGATACCAAAAGGTAATCAAAAGGTAACTAAAGATGAGTGTCTTCAGTTAGTTTGTGTGCAATGTGTTTGAATGGTTCTACTCTCTCAAATACATTGATAAGTCCTAATATTGCTTCTATTGGTTGTTCGTTGATTGTAGCTTTAATAGCTTTCATTAGTGATAAACCTTTAGCTTGATCAGTCTTTGGACCATCATCAATAGCTTCATCAAAGCTAGTCTCAGTAATCAGACCGTCACCAAACAATGCAGGAGCAACTGCCAGTCTATTAGAAGAAACTGATAACAATTTTGATAAAGCTTCAAACTGTTTCCTAAAAGCTTTTACTGCTAGTTCAGCAGAATCAAGTGTTGGTTGCTGGGCCTGTTGATCTATTGGGTGCATTATTAAAATCAAGAAGCTAAATCAAAAAATCAAATTTACCTTTTGGTCGTACATTTTCCATTGAAGTGGCAGCAACAACTGATGGAACAACTAATAATAATTATAATTACAATAATTACAATAAGAATAAGAAATAATTACTTGATGAAAAAGTGGTTGATAATAAATCATTTTTTGATACTTCAATATTCCATTGAACATTAGATGCATCAGATGATGTTTGTATACCATCAATAGATAAAGCATGGGACATCTCATCAGCAACAGGTTCAGACTGATCAGGTTTTACTGATACTTGAATGTATGGAGGCTCAGCACTTTTACTGCTGTAACGAACAACAAGACTTCTACTTATCTATGAACCAAAAAGTATAGAGATCTCTAGGAAACTGTCACTTACTGTAGGAGGATTGCATGGTTTTATTCTCCAGCCATCAATTGTGTGTGAGGGGAAATTGTGGACCTTTAGGAAGCAGTCCTTACCATCAGATTTGTCATCAGAAAATTGAAAATAAAAACTCGATGCCTGAGTACCGAGTATGGCCAGCATGCCCTTTTTC